TGCAGTGTCCCAGTTTTGGGACACTGCAACAATTTGGGACACTTGAGACCCTGGAACCGGGACCCCGCTGTCTGCCGCTTGAAATTTTCTTTCAGAGAAGAGAGAAGAAAAACTACTGATCTTCCCTCCCCTCCGCCCTCCTCTCAAGGAAGGATTGCTCCTCTTCTCCCATCCGTCCGTACGCCATCTTCTTCCCATCGAGCGGCCAGGATCCATTTTGGAGTAAATATAGTGCGATTAGGTGCTTTTTTCTTTGCATATCTCCCGTTCCTCGTCACTGTTCTGCTAGCGCCGCTTCCTTCTTTTTTTTTTTTGCCGCTTCCTTTTTTCCTTTACTTGAAAGAGAAAGCACAAACAGCCATCGCCACGCTCCCTTGATCCATTCATTTTCGAGTCCCGTCTTCTCCTCTCTTCCACTGCCAAGCTCCATTTTCCCTTTTCCCTTTATTACAGTCATGGAAAAGAAGAAGGAGCTTGGACAATACGCAGGCAAAAGAGAAAAAGGAAAACGCGCGGTAAACCAGAGAGGACGAGCAGATACACCGACATGGTAGAGCATTGGGCTTTTAACCTAGTAGTCGCAGGTTCAAATCCTGTATACCCATAAGGCAACGAAGTGGGGTAGACATGCTTATACTCCTTTCAGGCAACTAACTTGTATACATATTCCACAAAGAAACGGCTATGGCCAAATTGGTTCACGCACCACACTTAGGATGCGGCGGCGCTTCGCGCCTTGTGGGTTCGCACGCAGAGGCAAGAACAAAGAAAGAGGCACTCCCCGGATGAAGCAATTAGCCCCGCTCCAAAAACAAGGGTCAGTTTGAGTTGTGTCCTTTCTATTCGACATATATAAAACACAAGGCATCAATCAAATTAAACCACCAGTACTTGGCCCAGCTATCGGCCGCGACACTTTCCCGCTAACGCGCCGCGCCTTTAGGGCGGACCTCAATTGCTGGAAGCGCCAGCCAAAACAATTTCGAAACGGTACCCCGGTGCCTCGGCGAAAAACGGCGTGCAGGGCCATTCCAGGCTCGGCATCGATAGCTGGGACAAGTACTGGTGGTTTAATGCATATCTGTCGAGATTCCGTCTGGCGTGCATAAAGACGTAAAAATCTGCTATGGTCCTTCGGGACATCCGACAAAATTGGAACGAGACAGAGAAGGGTGATTAGCATGGCCCCTGCGCAACGATGACAAGCAAAAGTCGAGAAATCGTCCAAATTAAAAAAAAAAA